ATCAGGTTACTGGTGGCAGTGCCCCTTGGTGATTAAACAAACTGCGATGATAATGCCATCCTTCAAAAGGTGGAGGAAAAGGAGGAGGGGTCTGCTTTTCTGAACCCTGACCCTACCCCCCAAGAAGGAACTAGTTTTTCTAGTGGGAACGTTGGAAATCAATCCAACTTGGATTTGTAGTGTTGGCCGACTTCTGAGGTGTAAACACTCACACTGAGCATTTAACCACTGCAGAACTAGGATGGGCTGACTTCAGCCCGATCCTGATCGTCTCCTTGTGGGCGGCCAGGCCAGACGCAGGGCTGCTGCTCTGGGGGTGTGGATGCTTTCAGGGCCTTGGAGCTTCTCCGTTTGTTAGTGGCAGTTGGTCAAGGGTCGCCAATGATAGCAAGGATGGGTACAGAAGGTGGGAGCCCCCGCAGGTAACGGACGATAAGTACAAATGTGTGGCATGATTGGTCCTCTAAAGATAGTGCCCATCTTTGTGTGGTGGCAAAGAATTGGAAATTGAGGGGATGCCCATCAGTTCGGTATATGAATGTAATGGAATACTATTGTGCTATAAGAATATAGAATATAGAAGCAGGTAGATTTCAGAAAAACCTGGGAAGACTTACATGAACTGATGCTGAGTGAAGTGAGCAGAACCAGGAGAACATTGGACACAGTAACAGCAACCTTGTATGATTACCAACTATGGTAGACTTAGTTCTTCTCAGCAATACGATGATCCAAGGCAATGGTGGAAAATGCTATCCACATCCAAAGAAAGAACTATGGAGTGTGAATGCAGATCGAAGCATACTATTTTCACTTCTTTTTTTTTGTTCCTTTTCCCTTTTGTTCTGTTTTTTCTTTCACAACATGACTAATATGGAAATATGTTTACGTGATTACACGTATTCAACCTATCATCAGATTGCTTGCCATCTTGGGGAGGAGGGATGAGAGAGAGGGAGGGAGAAAAAATCTGGAACTCAAAAATCTTATAAAAAATATAGCTGTTGAAAACTATCTTCACATGTAATTGGAAAAAATAAAATACTATTTAAAAAAAAGCACCCAGTGTTAAAACGCATAATGAGCTGAGGCTTGTAAGGAATGCAAAGCATCACAAAAAGGTGGTTCGATTTTGTTTTGTTTTGTTTTGTTTTAAAGTTCTGTTTGGGGAAAAGAGAAGAATGAAAGCCTGGGTAAGGCTGCAGCTCAGGGAGCTGTAATGATGGTAAATGAGGATGGAACAAAAGCAGAACTGCTCAATTTTTCTTTTGCCTTGGCTTTTTTTTTTTTTTAAAGCAACTGAGGTTAAGTGACTTGCCCAGGGTCACACACCCTGTGTCTGGTTTGAGGCCGGATTTCAACTCAGGTCCTCCTGACTTCAGGGCTGGTGCTCTATGCACTGAGCCACCTAGCCGCCCCATTGGCTTCCTTTTTGAAGGAGACTACTATTTGGGCTGAGAAATGTAGACCAAATCTAGAAGTAAGACTCCCTTTTGAGGGGTTAGCTCACCAGGCTGGGATCCGCTGCGGACCCAACCTGTGAAACGGCACGGGAGGGTTGCTGAGGCACAGGGGAGGGGCCAGGGTCATCCTAGCCGTTGTCTCTTACAAAGGGAACCAGGGGGCCGTCCCTCCGGGAGGATTCTGACCTTGTCTTCGATTCCGGCAACATTCGTTAGAGGCTTTGTTAATGCACACCGGAAAAAGGTCCACACGGCTTTGTCGATACCAAGCATCGAACCTCAACCAGGGAATTACAGGGTTCGAGTCTGAGTATGTGTTCTGTTCCATTGACTGACTTAAAAAAACCCCAAACCCACCGCACGCATGCAGGCACGCGTGCAGAGGGCCAACCCGTTTCGATGCCAAGTGCTACGTGATGAGGGCTTCAGTCCGAAAGTGCCATTCCCCCTTTGTTCCAACTCTCCTCCCATTAGTTCCTTGGAGATTCGAGGCTTTCTCTTCTTCCGAATGAATGTCATTATTCTCTAGTTTTGTGAAATAATCCTTCGGCAGCTGGGCCCAGCGTTTTTAGAGCCGTGTTCCCGTCAGTCGGGAGTTTGCCAAGAATGCGGCATACAAGGAGCTCCTGGAGGGCAGGTGCCGTCCTCTGTCAGTCTTTGTGGCCCTGGGCTTAGCTCAGTTCCTGCACACACCTGCACGCCGGCTGACTCCCCATCCTGTTTAGCTGTGGTCCACATTCTCAGTCAGCAGGCATTAAGAACTCGCTGTATGCCTGGCACCGTGGCTAGCACTGGGAATACAAATACAAACAGAAACACAGTCCCTACCCTCAAGGAGCTTATCTTCTAATTGGGGAAGGCCACACATGAAAGGAAGCTGAAAAGCGGTGGGGTGAAGGTGCCCAGGGTGTATGGGGGATGGTAGAGAAAATCCCGAGTCCAGCCTGGAGAGGAATGAGGCATGCGAGGCCGGGACGCCCCCCTTAAGTGGCAGTTCTGGGAGAAGCCATCCACTCGGAGGGAGGACCCTGAGGGCTGTGGGGACTTCCAGTGAGTGAATCCCAGGGTTGGTGGGAGCTTCAAGGATGAAGAATCTTCCGGGGCATGAAGTGTACCCAAGGTTCTGCCCAAAGCTTGGGAGGGTACCAGTGGGGTGCTGGCTACCTGTCATCTCTCACTTTTGCCACATGACCCTCCCCGTCTTTTCTTCACTACTGTACTCAGTTTGTAAATCTGTAAATTATTAATAGTAAATTATAGAAATTAATTAAATAATTGAGGCAGTATTATAATTTTTACTACATTGATACAGCCTATGGATAATGAGTAGCTCTCCAATTATTTGTGTTTATATAGTTCTGTAAAGAGTGTTTTGTAATTGTACATATGTTTATACATAATATATAGACATATACAATACATGTATGTATATATGTGTGTGTATATACACATAGGTATGTATATTTGTGTGTATATGTATACACATACACACATATATAGTCTTGAATGTGTCTCAGAAGGTTGACTCCCAGACGCTCCATGCGATTTGTTGGAGAGGCCCCGGGAAGACAAGCATAATAACACATTGTTAGTGGAGCTATAAACTGATAGAAATTAATCATCATGGAAAATAATTTGGAGTTCTGCAGTAAGTCATTAAAATGTTTATCTTCTCTGATTCAGAGATCCCCCTCCTGAAGCCTATGTTTCAGGGAAGCCCTACACAGAAAGAAAAGCCACAGGTATAGAGTGGTCTAGAATCACTGCCTCCACTGTCTTACCACCCACGCATTTCTAGAGTCTGGCTTCCAGCCCTTCCATTCGGTGTAGACTGCTCTGTCCAAGGAACCCAGGGCTGTGACAGGTGAGCTTGACTTGCCTTTCCCAGAGCCACACCACCTCCTATTTACTGGCCTCCTTTATGTGTTGCCTTTCCCATGAGAATGTAAGCTCCTTGCGGGCAGGGACTGTCTTGCTTGCTTGTTTTGGGTATTCCCAGTGCTTAGTGGTGCCTGGTACGTAGTCACTGCTTAGTGAATTCTTTTTCATTCATTCACCTTTCATTATTTACTCTTCAAGGTTAACAAGGATCTCAATGCTAACTCCAGTGGGCTTTTCTCAGCCCTCTCCTGCTGGCTTTCTCTACACAGTGAATGTCCTTGGACACTCTGGCCTCCCTTGGTTTCTTTCTGTGACACTGCTCTCCCCTGCCTTTGCCCTTACTTGTCTAGTGACCCCTGAGTCTCCTTAGGAGGATCACAATGTGGTTCCTGCCCTCTGACCATGAAGACTTTGGGCCCAATTCTTTCAGTACATGTGCTTTCTTAAAGAGTTCACCATCTCCAATGACCCAGCCATCATTTCTATGTGCATGACTCCCAAATCTTTATATCTGGCCTTTCCGTGATTCTAGCGACACGGTATCAGTTACTTTCTAGAAGTCCCATAGGCTGTTCAAACAGAAATCATTACCTTCTCTTCTCAATCTTCCCTACTTCTGTACAATTTTCCAGGGCTGTATTACAATTACGTATTATGTGTATTGCCATGTCTTACTGGTGTGGGGTTCAAATAAGGCAATGTACATAAAATACTTTGTAAGTCCTTAAAGCACCATATAAATGTTGGTTATTATTATTATTACTACTAAAATCCTACTCCGTAAGTCATGGCACACCTTCCATGGTCCTTCCTAGTCACCCAGATTCACAGCCCAGAGAGTTATTTTTAACTCTCTCCTCACCTCTCCCTTCCCGTGAGCTGCCAAGTCTTACAGATTCTACCTTCTCCTCACCTTTCCATGTGACCTTGGGCAAATCGCTTCATCTCCCTAAATCACAGCCTCCTCTTTCTAAGCAGAGGTAGTAATAATACCTGCAGCTCTCACCATTTACAGTTGTATGACAACAGTATGAAAGGCAGATTACCCGGGGCTGGTCCAGCCTTTTGGGAAGTCTCAGCACAACAGAAACACCAGCTAGGAATATTATTAACTCCACTAAAATCCTAGCCTTCAAATGGCAATGGCTTAATCTGGAGTGCTGGAAGGTCTGCTAGCTGAACACCGTGGCAGTAGATTCTACCAAGATGGAGAGGCTTGGAGTGTGGGTCCAACAATGGATGGCATGCTGCCTGGCCCAGGACCAAGTGGGCTGCTGAGTGACAGGCTCATTACTAGAAGGTGGGCAGGTGATGGCTTTTTTTTTTTTTAGTCCGTAGTTATTCAAGAAGGGTCGGAAATATTTTAATCTGCATGGTAGAGGACCCACCCACACTGTTATCCTCAGAGATCGCTTTGGTAAATATAATTCTATTAATATATAATATAAATAGTATAAAATATAAATGTAATATAATAAATATAAAATTCCTTTAGGTCTTTTGATTAGGAGCAGAATTCCTCTACCTACTGTACCAATGTATCAGGGCACCCACGTCTTGTTACCTTCTCGTACCTCTAAGGGGCACCCAAACGCACTTTCAAAGGATCATGGCGGCGACTGCAACAAACAGGCATCGGACCCCCAGACTGCTTACCATGCATCTCCCCAGCACCTGCTGAAAATCTGCAACAATCGCATTTGAAGGAGGAAAAGATTCTTGAAACATCACGGGATTTTCAGAACAAGTTCTGCTCACCTAGAGAAAGCAATGAAAACATTAGTCTATAATTACATTTATTGAAAAATAACTGAAAAATTATAAAAAAAAATTCAGGTACATTTCAGGTCCACAGCAAAGGCCTAACAATACAGGATTTCTAACCCTTTGGAAGCATAGCATCACCGCATTTAAAAATGTCTCCAGATTGCCTCTGTCCCAGTCCTGGCCATCCCAGCTTGGTGAAGTGAGGGAGCTAGACTAACGATCCCCAGGCCCCCTTCTGGCTCTAGCAGGCTGCGTCCCCTCTGCAGAGAAGAGCTCTTCCTGTGTGAATCTCATTTAATCCTAGCATCTTCAAGTTGGAAGGAAGGCTGGGCTGGCAAATGTGTAACAATGGGCTCTCTGGAAAAAAGGTACACACAGCCTACTTTTCAGTTGAATCTGCATCATTAATCTCTTCCCCTTCACTTTCTTACATCCAGACAATCAACAACATGACAAGCCACGCCCTGGTTGGTAGAGTTTGCTCATTTGTGAGGCATAAACACTCGTGCTGAAAAGAGAACAGTCGCTTTTCTGGGGCTGGTTTGAGATGGTGCCAGCCCACCCCTGGTTGGGAGGCATTCTAGACATCCTGGGGTCCAACTTTTTTTTTTCTTTTCTTTTCCTTTTTTGTCTTTGCGTTTCTAGTGTCTGGCACACCGTCCTGCATATAGTAAGTGCTTAATAAATGCTTGTTAGTTGTGAGCAGGTAAAGGCATTATGTAAATGAACCCAACTCCTGACCAAGCCAGGTGGGCTGAGTGTTGCCTGGAGAGGGTGATTCTGGATCAATGGAGGGAAGGCTGCTATGTCCCTGACTGAATGAGGGGCAGAGCTGGTGTGAGACCTTTGGAGAGGACAGACATTCTTTATTCCTGCTTTGAGACTGGGCACATACACTGTCCATACTCTTTGGTATGGACTCATAGGAGAAGAGGAAAAAGAAAAGCATTGGAAATAGCAAGCATGTAGGGGAAGCTGGTGCCTCAAAGTGTCCCTGATTTCCAGCTTCCTTCCTTAGACACCTTGGGGGATTTCCTTGTGGGTGAGATCAAAGCATCTCTTATGGCTGAGTTGAGACACTCCCCTGCCCAGGGAGAATGTTTTAATTCTGGCATTTTATGGTAGATTCCAATCTATAGACCGTCTCTGATTTCTGTTTGCTATCTGCCTGACAAATGACTTTCCTCATTATTCATTCACCACTACTGCTACTAATGACAGATACTATGATAGCTTTACAACTGTTATCTCATTTGATTCTCACAATGAGCCTTCCAGATGCCGGCTTCCTAAGATCGTTGTCCCTACCAGCCTGTGGACTTTGTTCTGTTCTGCCATGCTTATCTATGTAAATGTTGCAGCCTTCCCCTGAGAGAGCTCTGAGGTCAGAAATGGTTTCATTGCTGACTCTGTATCCCCAGGGCCTACCCTGGGGTACTGGCACCGAGCTGGAACTTAAGCACGTTTGTAGACTGATTCCTACACAGGTTTGACCAGTAAGTGGCCATGTGAATGTTGATTCTGTGTGCGTCTGATTTAGAAATTAAATTGTGTAACCAAAACTCCAGCACACACGGATCAGCACAAGAAGAGGCTGCATTTAAGAGGCTTTTGTTGTTCCCTTGTGTCTGACTCTCCATGACCCCATGTGGGGCTTTCTTGGCAAAGATACTAGAGTGGTTTGCCATTTCCTTCTCCAGGTCATTTGACAGATGAGGAAACTGAGGCCAACAGGGGGAAGTGACTTGGCCAAGGTCTCCCAGCTGGTAAGTGTCCAAGGCTGGATTTGAACTCAGGAAGAGGAGTCTTCCTGACTCCAGGCTGCACATTCTGTCCACTGCACTTCCAGTTATTAGGAGCCGGATGACAAAAAATGAGGATCAATACAAATGACTCATGGATGCAACTTGTGAGTCCCGAAGGCTAGCTTGTTGATTTTTCTATAAATTCACATTTGTTGACACCTCTGATCTGAATTGTACATTTGTCAATAAAAATGAAGACGGAGCTTGCTCGTTGCTCACGTCTTGTAAGGAAACCACCCACGACGTGGGCCGCTGCCCTGAACCGCAGGGAGGCCGGGATCGAAGCTCCTTTCTGTCTCTCTCTTTTTGGCTCCAAGTTACACATAATAAAGAGTGACTTATGGTCTATAAATGCTTCAACTAACAACAGCAATCAGGGAACAGCTATTAAAATAGTGCACGTTCTAATAATACCCCTAAGGAAGTTATCCTATATCAGGCCTGCAGCTTGTGGCCCGCCAAAGGCCTTCGGGCAGCCTGCGAGAAATGTGGGGTTGCCACTTGTGAGCGCTCCTGTTTGTCACGTGACAAGCAGCAACCAACCGTAGCCAGTCAGTCTCTAGTCTAATCTATCTGCGGCCACAAGAAGTTTAGCCTCTACCTTCTGCCTAGTTGTGCAGGTCTGTCCTATGTAATACCCATGTGTTAATTTTGGATATATGTGTGTGTGTCACACACACACACACACACACACACTTATTTCAATAGGTGAAAGGATACATGTGATCTCATCTGTTTGAATACACCCTCTCTCATTGGAGATCCCAATCCCCCCATGCCTCAGTGTAGCCAAAAGATGCCATGTGGTGGATGATCCTTTGAGTATGAGGCTGCTTCTTGGATGACAAATACTGCCCGGGGGCAGCTGGGGAGCTCAGTGGGTAGAGGCCTGGGCCTGGAGCCAGAAAATCTCATCTCCTTGAGTTCAAATCCATCCTCAGACACCTACTAATTGTGCGGTCTGGGGCAAGTCACTTAACCCTGTTTGCCTCAGTTTCTCCATCTGTAAAATGAGCTAGAGAAGGAGATGGAAACTGCTCCAGCATCTTGGCCAAGAAAACCCTAAATGGGGAGTCAAAGAGTCAGACAGTTGAACAACAGCCACCAGCCAGCTCAGAATCAAAGCCCTTCTAACTTGGCAGAGGATTTGCTAAAAAGCTACCTCATCCACACAGATACACACACACACACACACACACACACACACACACACACACACACACACACATCCTCCACCTCAGATCTGTGATTTCATTGGTGAGGACACCTTCTGGTCATGATTCTCCCTCTACCCAACAGACATCAGCAGCTGCTTAGGATCTTCTAGAGCTTCCCTGGCAGGGAGAGGTTGAATGCCCTGCCTGGGGTCAGCTGTATGTCTGAATGAAGCCTTGAACTAAGGGCTTTCTCACTTGGAGTCTGGCTCTCTGCCTGCTACACTGTGCCGCCTCCCCTATGTACATATACACACAATATAAACATCAATATTTGTGAAACACTTGGCAAACCTTAAAGCCCGATAGGAAGGCTAGCCATTATTATCACGTCTGCCACGTAACGCATTCCTAGCCCATTTTCCAATTGAAAAGTATTCTGATTTTCCTAAAAGTTGTCATTCCTTGATTTTTTTTTCCCATTCACCCAGGGTAATTGAGTCAGATTCCCCTTTTCAGAAACATTCTCCAGAGAAGAGAGATACAAAAGCAGAGGAAAAGGTGAAGGGTAAGTTTGAGGATGTCCTGAAAATCTTTGTGGACCATTAATGCTCTGTTCTCCTTCTACTCAATGCTAGTTTTTATAGTCAGTGTCCTAAATATTTGCAATTTTGGTTTCTGAGGCTAGACTGCTAGACTTTCACATATGAATCTGAACATAGAAATCTTATAGAAATTCGGTAACTGAAATAAAGTCCTTAACTTAGCCTAAAAAATTCCTTACCTCATCAAGAAATGCAGATGGTAAAGTAACATCCAAAGGATTGTCTGTGGCACACAAGTAAGTGATTCCGTCAATAAGGAGAGTATGGTAGACATAGCTTTGAAAAGATACATACATTTACATCATCATTTTGCAGAAACTCATCTATCTACTATATATTTAACAAACAAAATTAAGAGAAAGGCACGTAGCTTAATCAAGCTACTATCTAGGAAACTCTAGCTGTGAAATAGTTGACATTTTCCCTAGTTAACCCCAAATGGGATGCAGACTTCACACCCTCTACAGCACAGAATTTTTAGCTTGCCCCAAAGCATAGCTCAGATGTCACCTCTGATATGAGGTGTTTTTGCTTTTCTTGAAATTATTTATTTAACTATCTATATATTCTATCTTCCCCACTTCCCCCCTTCATTTCTCCTTCCCATTCCCCCATACACTGTAAGCTTCTTGAAGGCAGGACTACATCTTATTTTGTCTCTGTAGGTCCTTCACCTAGCATGGTGCCTAATAAATCTTTGTTGAAATTAAATTTAATATATTTGACATCTGAAAATGAACTATTTCTGTTCTACGCCAAATGCTATGTCAGTATACATTTTAAAATAGCCCTGTCAGATGCCACTCATTTGCCTGGGGAGGGGGTCCACATTTTGTTCTGGCTGTATAGGAAAATGTTCATTGCTTAACCATCTGTGTACTTTTGGAGAGGAAAGTCCCAGCACTTTGCACAGAGCCCTGATGCATAGAAGGTACTTGACATGGGCTTGTGGACCGGCAGCTCACATTTTTGGCCCTTGTTTACTGTGGGGGATATGGGAAGACTGGAGGGAGGCCCCTTTGGCACGTCTCCTATGTCTCGGTCTACCCAGCCATTCTATCTTTTAATTACATTCCAGTTTTTGATAGACTCCCCAGTCTAGGGGGACAGAAGGCAGCCCAGATAACTTAGGAGTAAATCTGTCAAGTGGTGGCCTTCGTTTTAATGAGGGGCCATTAACACTGCTCAGTCTGGCCCAGGCAGGACCAGCCTTTGTATATGAAGCTTTATCAAACTAGTCATATATATGGTCCAGGAGAAAATAGAAAAGACAAATGTGTCCTTTCCATATACAAATTGTCAGTAGTCTTTAGCATTATGATATACAGTTATCCCTTCTACGGTGCAATTTTCCCCATCATGGTTTTGATATATGGCAGGTAGGCATAAGAAATTAAATGGGAATTTTTGGGGAGTTTTGCAGAAGCCACAAACAACACAGAAGTTTAGAAACTCAGAAATGTATAAAATATATGTACAGTATTGTATAATATCAACATATTTTATCTTTGAATACCATAAATATACACAGTTTTTTCTTCTCTGGTACAAAGAGAGGGCCCAAAAATTTTACTTGGATTTCCCAGATTGCAGGTGCACCGGCCCCTAGCTCCTGGGAGGTGGAAGGGATAACTGCACACATGGTTCTCTTAATTTTTGCTGACAGTGAATAATACATGTAATCTTTCCTTCTAAAACATCTTTATTTCTAAATCTGGATATTTGTTGAGAAAACGTTCCTAATTTTTCCAAACACCAAGGTAGTTGTTACCATGAATAACTGGCATGATAGCAAGGAAAGAGCTTGATATTCAGACTGTCTTTAAAGCTTCAGTCAATCTAATTAAAGTCATTTTACAATATCACGTACTATGCACCCTCTCTATTTTTGAGCAGTAAGATCATTAAGTGGGAGTAATCGGTACAGACCACAACCCTAGAATCCCCCCTTACCTTCCAATTCGGGCTGTGGTCTTTTTCTCAGCTTTAAGAAGCACTAGTTTTAGCACTGATGAAACTGCGTCCTAAAAATAAACTATTAATGTTCAGTCTGTTGTAGAGAAACAAATAGAAGATGTATAAATATACACTTATTCTTCCTTAATAAATGAACTGGTTCATGCTAAGTTCAGCCTGGTTTGTGAGTAATAAATGTCATGTTCATTATAAATATTCATGTCCACTGGAAGAAAAAAGGCTATAAATCATAGACGCACAAGCACACAAGAAAATCCGTCTCAGCGCATCATGGCCGAGTCTTGACACGGTTTCTACCACGGACAGGACCATCTAGTCACGCTGTGGCTTTTCATCAGCACCAGTCACCAGGAGGCCAACTTAAACTGGGCACATCGTTTTCACGGAATTACCATCAGACATCTCAGCTTTTCATTTCAGCCTCTACCTCTGTCCAGACTCAAGGGCTCAGCTGAAACCAGGCAAAAAATATCTATTTATAAAGATTCATTGCTTTCTTCTAGAAAGAGGAAAGAATGCCAAGTGCCCTCCCTATTTCTCTTTTCAAATACAAACATCAATCACGTTTTCACTAGCCAGTGGTCCCCAACTTTTTTCTCTCTCCAAGTGCCCCGAGGAATCTTGCACACTGAATTTTGCGTCAGTGGGCAGGGCTTGTGGGCATCTGCCTTTCAAAAAGAGCCTTCACTTTTGTCCAGTGTCTTGCAGGCTCGTGATGTCTGGCCACTGGACAGATGGCTCTGGAAGAGAGAGTGAGGCTGATGCCTCTGCACAGCTCTCCCTCACTTCAACCCAATTCACTTGCATGTCACGGCCTCCCCTCCCTGATGTCATGGTCCTCATTAAGAATGAAGGACAAGCCACAACTTCTGCCGCAGCCCCCCCCACCCTTAGGTAGTTTAGCCTTTGAAACTGATTAATCACACCCTTCTTCTGCCTCTCAAAGCCTGGGGGAGGCTACAGCTCAACACTCTGGAAAGTAACACTGGAAAATTCTGGGCCATTGTCAGGAAGACCGGAAGAGGGGGCAAGTGAGAAGCGGCAATGCCTCTTTACAAATGGAATTACCAGCACTGGAGGTCCAAAAGGACCTCAGAGGCCAAGCAGCCTAATCTTCTCAGATAAGGAAACTTGGGCCGAGGGAGGCTGTGACGCCACTGAAGTACAGCCACGAGGGTGGCGTTTAAAGCCTGGTCAGACCTGTTGCTTTTTATAATAATACTAATAGCTAATCTTTACATGGGGTTTACTATATACCAGCATAGGCTAAGCTCTTATGATAGCTAACATTTGCAGACGGTTCACAACATAGCAGCACAGTGCTAAGCGCTTTACAAACATCTCATCAGATCCTCACAATAACCCTGGGAGGTAAGTGCTGTGATGCCCCCATTTTACAGGTGAAGAAACTGAGGCAAACAGAAGTGAAATGACTTGCCCGGGTCACACAGCTAGTGGATGTTTCTAGTGGATCTTCATGGACTTACATGTCCTGATTGCTTTTTAGTTTTATACTGGTTGGTAAATCTTTGCCCCCACTATGCTGTCACTCAAGCTTTATAGGGCCAACGAAGGACCCCATCATGCATTTAAAAAAATTGAGTTTCAAATTCTCTGTGCTCCTCCTTCCCCCCACCCCTTGGAAGGCTAGGGATCTGACCTAGATCACACATGTGCATGCATAGGCTGCAGCCTTCGGAAGCTCCTGGACTCCCTGCCAGGGTTCCAGCCCATCGCGGGTCAGAGGCAGGACCTGTTCCCAGGTCAGCTCCTTCCTAGACCTCCTCTCCCATACTAGAAGTAGGGAGAAGGCTTGTGCTTTCATCCCTTCATTCCTTCATCCCTCCTTCTTGGGGAGCAAACTCCCCCTAACCATGGCAGGCCCCACTTTCTGCACAATTTATCATCTCGTGCCACTGCCCAGGGCCCTGGGAGCTGAAGGCGCTCGGCCAGGATGGCTCAGACATGAGATTGGAACCTGATGCTTTCCTTCTCGGTTGAAGCCAGCACTCCTGCACCGGATGCTCAGTGAGACACTGTCTGTAGAGCGCTTTGCCCAGTGCCGTGCACACAGTAGGCGCTTAATAAATGCTTGTTTCTTTCCTCTCTCCCTAATGCAGTGGCCCAGAGGCTTAAAACTGCACCAAGACTTTTGGGACATGATAGCCTAAGGTGAGAGCAGGAGTTGGGTGGATCCCATAGGTATACACATAGTGGATAAAAAGATACAATAATGTGTCTATTAACTATTATTTATTATTTAATAAATATTGTATTTATTATTTATTAACTATTGTTAACTTTATAGCTATACAACTGTTATTAACTATATATCTATACAATAAAGTATATATTTAATTAATTTAATTAAAACGTAAATTAAATTAAGGTAGGGTCTTAATTTTTTTTTTAAAGTCAGGAGCTGTCAAAGGCCTAGGAATGGTTAAGGGGGATTCACTCTCCTTTCAATCAGTAATTTATCGGTGGAGGGTCCCTTGGCACCTCCCCGTTCCCTCAGGGCTCTGAGCCTAGCAAAAAAGCCCTTCCTTGAAGCGGGACTGCGAGGACAACGGGGAAGAAGAGACTGTGGTCTCAGAAGACCCCTGGAGGCAACACGTGGAGCCAGCGGAGAGGGCCTGGTGGTTGGGAGGGGTGGCTACCTGATAGTTGCCTCCGGTCAGGGCCAGCTCGGCCAGGATCACCCGGCCATTAGCAATGCAGCTGTACGTGATGGTCATAGCGTCTCCGGGCGCCTCGGCCACGCCAACCGCCCTCAACGGCTAAGGCGCCTCCCGCGCAGGCGCAGTGCTGCCTGGGGGGGGTTATGGGAGGGCGGGTGACTGACAGGCCAGTGAGGGCAGGAAGGGGACGGGCCAAGGCGCGAGGGGCGGGACTATGAGCAGGCGGGGCCACACTCAGGGCACGCGGGGCTAAACTATGAGGGGCGGGGTTACTTGGGAGGCATAAATTTGTAGCTGGAAATAAGAAAAATCATTAGGTCAGTTTTTGTGCTGTGCTCATTCAGTGCTGGCACCTAAACATCTCATCTCTAAGATGAAAATAATCAAATAATATTTGTAAAGTGCTTTGCAAACCTCAAAGCGCTATGTAAATGCCAGCTGTCATCATTATTAGCTTACTAAATGTTCTTACCTTATCTATCTTTATCTACTTCAATCTATCTCTGTCTGCTCTCTCTCTCTCTCCTCTCCCCCCCTCCTCTCTGGCCCTACTTCCTTTTCCCCTTCCCCTTCCCCTTTCTCTCTCTCCCCTCCCCCCCTTTCTTCTCCCCTTTCCCTCTCTCTGTCTCCCTCTTCTTTCTCTCTGTCTTCTTCACCATTATTTAGATCCATACTGTATGTAGAGAACTGTGCTCAGTTCCTGGAGAGATACAAAATTTAAATAAGACATGGTACTTTCCCTCATGAAGCTTACAATCTCATAAGGAGGTAAGACGCAAACAATGATAACTACAGCATTCCTTGGCTGTGCCCCTCTGGATTCCTCTCTCCGTCACCCCCTCCCTGTTGACTACCTGCCTTCTCCCCTCCCCACCCCACTTTTCAGCTTCCTTTTGTATGTTGTTTTCCTCCCAATGAAAAGTAAGCTCCTTGAGGGCAGAGACTGACTTTGGAGTTTCTTTGTATGCTCAGTGCTTAGCACAGTGCCTGGCGGATAGTAGATGCTTAATAAATGCTTATTGACTGAGAATAATAAAATGTTGCATGAGAAGTGCGTCCCGGGGATTCCGGGAAAAATGGCTTGGCTTCCCACTTACCGCCCCCACCAAAGAGAAACCTAGTGATGCGACAAAAACGGGAACAGAAGAAATGAAAGAAGTAATTTAAAAAAGAACTGAAAAATGATGTAACTACCTACTGCTCCTCACATCCCTTCTTCCCTCACTCCTGCTCTCAGCCTTCCCCACACAAAGCCTCTTTGTCCCAAGGAATCCTGACCCTTGCGGAGGGTGCAGGTTTAAATATCCCCTTATAGGCCAGCGTCATGGAGGACCCCCACACCTGGGGGGCCACTGAGGTCCACGAGTTGGATTAGCCTCTCAAGTTCTGGAAGGAAGAAGGATATGTCTCCTGGAGTGAACCCGCATATAGAAAGAGTCCCAGCTATAGAGTTCCAACCTTGCCGCTGTCCCAGCCAGATCCTTTCACTCCGCTTCAGTGACTTGGGACCCTTTTAACTTGACCAGCTCCAGAAGGCAGCCTGGAAATGAGAGAAAGTCGGTGGCTGTGGGGGAGAGAGAGGTCCAGAAACGCAATGCTGGAAATACAGGTGTGAAAACCAGCAAATAACCGGAGGAAAGAGCCGTTACAACCAATGCTTACTTCAAAGTAAAAGAAAACGAATAAAAAAATGCAAGGAGAGCAAAGGGCTCATAACGATGTAACCTTAATTTAAATAAAGACGTGGACATTATTACTGTAACTTTCAGAGAGAAGGCCATGACGGGGTGATGTCTGCACTTGCGTTGAACTGGGTTCAAGTGAGGCAGAGCTGCACAAAATCATCCCCCTCACTCTGTCTTCCAGAGTCATTGAAGTCCACCGCAGGACAAAAGTCAGGACAGCTGGCCATGGTCTGGGATGCAGTGGATGACCTCGGTGTTTCAATGTCTGACCAAGCTCTAAGCTCTCCACAGCTCCCGTTTCAGCCCCTTCCTGGCCTTTGGAACAAATCTTCTTATCTGTCCATTCCACCTGGGAAAGTCTTCACATGCTTGAGGTAGACATCCCCCTAACTCACCTAGGAGTTTGGGACTTGTCACTTACCCTCAACCTGGTTTAGCGGGTCTGACCAGTGAGTTTTCCCGGGGCGGGGCAGCTGTGCATGCTACAGCTTCTGGTGCTACAGTTGAGAGATGGGTGAAAGTGAACATCAATGCTGTCTTGGAAAGAACCTTGTAGAGCAGGAGTGTCAAACACTCAGCCTGGATGAAACATATACTCCTGGGTGAAGCCCAAACCAGATTTTTAAAAAATGCAATTGGGAAATATTTAACAAAATTAATTTTTCTAAACAATATTTTAACCAATATTTAACAAAACATATAAAAATACAATAAAGCATAGATAATATTACCTTTTAAAACTAAATCAATCTTTGGCCCTCAGAGATCCTTCTGTATGGATTAGTGGTCCCCATTTCTATTTGAATTTGACATTCCTGTGGTATATTCACAGTTAAACTATTATCTGGAGAGATGCTATTGAAGCTGGGGTTACAATTAATACCATGATGCCCCAAAGAATAACAATGAAACTATTTCCAAGAAATTCCACAATATTTCAGGAGAGAATTAAAAAAAATTAAGTGAAACTATTTTAAAAAGTAACAGAAAATAGACATCTCAAGGAAGAAATCAATATCTAATATGAGAGTAAGGAATTTAGAACAAAAGACAAATATTCACCAAGATAAAATATTATCTGAAAAAAGAGACAGAATTGAAGTGCAAAATATAGAGGTAAAGGGAAAATCAAGTAAAATCAAAAAGCAACAGGATTTGGAAGAATACATAGAAATAGTGATATGAAATTTAGGAAGAAGGGAAGGCTTGGGGGAGAGAGATATTGAGGTTAGACTTTTCTGTGCTTAATTTAAAAAAAGAATCATGCTTATTTTTTTTTGTAACCTTGTCTGAAACCTCTGCTACTCTGAGTTTACCTGAGGCATAATAAATTATGCTCAGTGCTTTATTTTAACTTTATGTGAATCTTTACATTTTAAGTAAGTTTCTGATATACAATATGCTGTTGGATTTTGCTTTTGAATTCATTCTGCCATTTTCTTTCGCTTGGGTGAATTAATCTCACTTGTAAATATAATTATGATTATTAATTATGTAATTTCCTCCTTCCTATCCATTATACTTTTTCCTCTCTTTATCTTCTGTCCCCTTTTTACAATTGTGACATATCTGTGTCTGTGTAAGATAGATTTGTCCACACGAATTGTCTAAGCATATAAACACAGCTCATGCACGGCACGTTTAGATAGCTATGGAATCTGGCCTACTCCTCTCTGAGGGAGACTGCTATTTCCGCCTTGAAGACGAGGAAGGGCCATTGATGGGTGCTTGCTACCCCTCTTGCTTATTTCCAAAAGGATAGTGTGCTAGAATTTATACACAAATATGTTTATATGACATAGCAATATGATATTATATACATGTAAGGCATATCATATAAATATTTATTATATATCACATATCAATATATCACATATCCATATATCATATATGTATATATATGTGTATATAATACACATGTGTACATATAACATGCATCATATATATCAATATAATATAAATAAACGCATACATGTGTACACAAATATATTCATATAATATATAACTATATATGATATGTAATATATCATATAGCACATTTTTATAATATACAAATGTATTTATATATAATACAGGAAGGTAGGTTTACATATTATATACACACATATTTATATGTGATATATATTATATAATATATTATATACACACATATTTATATGTGATATATATTACATAATATATCATATATTTGTCCCCCTCAACTATCTCTGGTCTAGGAGTATGATCTTTATGGATTCAGAAGGAGAGCCAGTTGCCTGATGGCTCTTGGAGGGGGGGAGATATCTTTTACCATCAAAGGCTGGTCACCAAAAAGACCATCACAAGAAGTGAATAGTGAGTAAATCCATTTATCCAAGAAAAATGAGCAAACAGAGACCAGAGCACTTATATAGATTAGAATACACCAGAAAAGCAAATGATTCCTTTAGTTAGGAGCAGGCTGAAATCTCTGTTCACACCAAGAGAGAGGCTTTGATCTCACTCAAGCCAAAGTCCCTGAAGTCTCTAGGAAGACAAAGTGGAAATCATTGTTGTGTTGAGAAGACAGAATTTTCCATGTCTTCCAAAGTCTTTCTTTTGCTCCATGTGTCTCTCCTAAAGAGGCTCTGGAACTATACATAACCGTCTCCCAAGAAGTTCGGTACCAACTCCATCTTTCATGAAGGTGAGCAATATGGCCTCAGCATTCTCTCTATCAATTTCATGTCACATGTCCTTATTAATACCAGTAACATACAAAACATTCCAGCCTGGGTTGGCAGCCCACTTAGATCTAAGTAACAGAGAATCACAGTTTCGTGTGCTATCCTCTCTTTTCTACAATGTACATAGAAATGCTCATTTACTAAGCTCCAAATAGAGATAAAACAAGGCAAATACATAACAAAATATACTGGTAAATATGAATCAGAAGTAAGGAATGACAGAGGCCAAAGACCTGTGGATTTCAGAGAGTCCATGCCAATAGATGATGAATACTTTTTTCATGAGAAAGAAGAGAGGTAACCATGGTATACTGGATAGAGTGATGGACTTGAACTTAGGAAGTCTTGGGTTCCAATTCTGCCACCCCCACTTTACTAGCTGTGTGACCACAGGCAGTTTCCATATTTATAAAGTGAAAAAGTTGGACCAGATGACCTCTGAGGTCCATTCTAGCTCAAATTTATGATCCTATCATTCTAGGATTCAAGAAAAGAATCAATAAATGCTGGACGTGGTAAGTCTGGAATAATGATAAAAATTGAAATTGATTATGTTTTCACAGATAGAAAATGACTCATTACTAATGTGAGAGTCATTCCTGAGTTAGCTGTCAATACAGAGTAAATGGAAACAATTCAGTTTTAGACTATGAGACCGTAAGATAATAATTAAAAAGGGAATATGAACATTAAGTACCAAATTAAGTGGAGATTAAATAAAGACGTCCTGAATAATGAGTAGGTCAAATAACAAATTATAAAAACAATAATGTTAAACAGTATGATAATTATACA